TTTTGTACATCATGCATGCTGCTGTCTCTGTGTGCTTGTGCTCGAGCGCCTGTTTCATCCTGAATGGCCATACAGCACAGAAAGACCCTTCCGTCCAACCAATCCATGCTGAACATAATCCCAAACTAAACTAGTACCACCTGCCTGCTCCTGGCCCATATCTCCCCAACTCTTTCCTATTCATGTACTTATCCAAATGTCTTTTAAAGATTGTAATTGTACCCAGATCCAACACTTCATCAGGAAGTTCATTCCACACATGAATCTCCTCTGTGTAAAAAAATTGCCCCGCATATCTTTTTTTAAATCTCTCTCATATCACCTTAAAAAATGTTCCCCCAAGTCTTGAAATCCCCGATCCTAGGGATAAGACAACTACGATTAACTCTACCATACCCCTCATTATTTTATAATCTTCTCTAAGGTTACCTCTCAACCTCCTATGCTCCAGTGAAAAAGGTCCCAGTCTAACCAGCCTTTCTTTATAACTCAAACCTTCCATAACCAGCAACATCCTGGAAAATCTCTTCTGAACCCTCTCCAGTTTAATAATATTCTGGCTAACCAGAACTGGACACAGTGTTCCATAAGGGGCGTCACCAATGGCCTGTACAACCTCAACATGACTTCCCAACTCCTATACTCAAAGGATGGAACATTGAGAGCAAGTGTGCCAAACGCCTTTTTAACCACCCTGTCTACATGTGATGCAAACGTCAAAGAATTATGCATCTGAACCCCTGGGTGCCTCTGTTCTACCACACTACCCAAGGCCCTACCCTTGTTTGTTGTACCAAAATGCAGTATCTTGCATTTATCCAGAATGAATTCCATCTGTGATTTTTCAGCCCATTGACCCATTTGATCAAGACAGCTTCTTGAGCGTTCTTGGACCTGCACTCATCCATGCAAGGGGAGAGTATTTCATCACACTTCTGATTTGTGCCCGGTAGATGGTAGATGGATTTTGAGAAGTCTAGAGGTGAGTTGCGTGATACAGAATTCATGGCTTCATCTTGTAGCCAGTTCAAGTTCCAGTAACTGGTAACCCCCAGTATGTTGAAAGTAGGGGATTCAGCATTTATAATGCCATTGAATGTCAAGAGGCATTGGTTGGTTTCTCTCTTGTTGGAGGTGTTCATTACCTGGCACTTATATGGTGCACCTTTTCCTTATAAACCCAAGCCTGAATTTTGTCCATGCCTTAGTATTTGAGGAGTTGTGAATTGTGCTGAACATTGTACAATCTTCATGAACATCCCTACCTCTGATCTTATGATGGAAGAAAGTAATTGAAGGGATGGATGAAGGTTTTTGGGCCTAGGACACCAGTCTGAGGAACTCCTGCAGTGATGTCCTGTGGCTGAGATGATTGACTTCAAACAATAACAACTATTGTCCTTTGTGCTTCATATGACTCCTTTGATTCCGATTGACTACAGTTATTCTAATACTGCTTGATGCCACATTCGATCAAACGTAGCCTTGATGTCAAGGACAGTCAACCTGGTATTGCTTAAGTCTGTCTAATCACATGTTGCTAGTACTCCTGCTCTGTGGCTTCACCAAGTTGACATCTATTCGTTAGGTATACTTGGTGCTGACATGATGTCTTGCACTCTTCTTTGAACCAGGGTTGATTCCCCAGCTTGGGCAATCCCATAACCAACAGATCAGATCCTAGGTCTGCAAATCTGCCACATCCAGTCATTAATGGTAGTGGACAACTAAGCAACGCACTTGGAAAAGAAGGTTCCACAAATAACTCCATCCTTGTTGATTGGGAAGCCCAGCGCATCAATGCAAAAAACAAGGTTGAAGCATTTGCAAGCATTTTCAGTCAGAAGTGCCAAGTTGACGATTCACCTTGGCCTCTTCCTAAAGTTACAGGATCACAGAAGCCAGCCTTTCGCCAACACAATTTGCTCTACATGATATCAAGCAATGGCTAAAGGCACTGGCTGCTGTAAATGTTATGGGTCCTGACAACATTCTGGAAATATACTAAAGGTTTGTGCTTGTAATCTTCGATTTGGGGATCTCCTAGGCTATGAAGTCAAATGTTGAATACAGTTTTGCTGCTGCTGATGATCCACAGCACCTCATGTTGCTCAGTTTTCATTTGCTAGATTGGTTTGAAATCTAACCAATTCCACACAGTGATTTTGCCACAGAAAATGATCACAGAAAATGATGGAGGTATCCTCAAAGTGAAGTCTGTAAAGACAGCGCGATAATGTCAGGGACAGGTGTATCTGCTAAATGTAGATCATTTAGGATGAGGTCAATTATATTTTTTTTGTTTTGTTGGTTCTGTCATTACCTGCTGTAAGCTCAGTATTGCAGCTATGTCCTTTAAGATTCAGACACATTGGCCAGTAGTGGTGCTACTGAGCCACTCTTGGTGCTGTACATCCAAGTCCCCACCTGTGTACATTCTGTGTCCTTGACACCCTCAGTATGACCTCCAAGTGGCTATTAACATAGAGTACAACTGATTTATCAACTGTAATAAGTGGTAATAAGCAGGAGGCTTCTTTGGCCATGTTTGACTTGATCTGCTTTTTTCTGAAGAAGGGTCTAGGCCCAAAACATCAGCCTTCCTGCTCCTCTGATGCTGTTTGGTCTGCTGTGTTCATCCAGCTCTACACCTTGTTATCTTTGACTTGATCCATGAGATTTCATGGGGCCTGGAGTCAATGTTGAGGAATCCCAGGGAAACTCTCTCTTGAATGCCTATCACTGTGCTGCTACAGTGGCTCTTTTCTGTCATTGGGCTTGTGATCATGGTGTCATGGACACTGCCTGTCAGATATGATTCCATCGGAATGACTATGTCTAGCAGTTGGACATGTCTCCCAATTTTGGTATAAGACTCTTGATGTTAGTAAGGAGGACTTTTTAGGGTCAACAGGGCCATTATCATTTCTGGTCTGCCTGGTTTCATCTCTTTTAACAGACTTTGTTGTGGTTAGGTACAACTCCAGGACATTTACGAATCAACCAGAGTACTGTGAATATGGCGACACAAGTAGAACAGACCAGGTGAGGATTGCAGATATCACTTCCCTAAAGGGCTTTTACAACACTTGTGGCCACCATTGAATTCCGCATTGAAATTTGGTGATTTCAAATGTCAGGATTTTTTTGTGGTGAGATTCAAACAGAAGTCCTCAGGGCCTCTGGAATTACTGGTCCAGTGATAATACCACTCTGCTGGCACCTCTCCAACTCTAAGGCTGAAAGTGCCAGAAGTCGCCAATAAACTTTGGGCTCAATCTTACAAGAAACTGGTAAGTAGAGAGAAGAAAGTCTCAGATTAGTGTTGAAGATGCAGGTTTCTAAATTTAGGATTAATTTTTATGAGGAGAAGGTTTTCTCATTTAAAATGTACTATGAATTGTCCTGGGATTTATAAAACAAAGTAAAGGGATCTTTTAACTGATATTGTACCAGCTTTATCAGTGTTTAACAGTATAATATTTAGGAGTTTTACTCAAAATCTAACCTTTGCCATACTTGCCTGGAGATATTAAATAAGACAGTGTCAAGTCAGTTTTATTCTACATTTAATTCATGATATGCTGAACTTCAAATGGATTGAATGGCTTTATTCTGAGCTATGCCTGATGTTGATACGCAGCACCCAACAAGGGAAATTGTTTAATTCACCAACACATTTCTATCACTTTGATCATGGATATCTAACAATGATGAGTCAAAATACAGATGGGAGATAAAGAGCTTGGTGACTTGGTGCAATGAAATCAATCTGTCTCTCAACGTCAGCAAAACTAAAGAACTGATCATCGACTTCTTAAAGAAAGGAGGAGAACACACCCCCATCTAAATCAACGGAACTGCGTTTGAGAGAGTGAAGAACATCAAGTTCCTCAGAGTGACGATAACTGATGACCTGTCCTGGACTTCACATAAATGCAAGTCAAGAAGGCACAACAATGCCTCTTCTTCCTCAGGTGGCTCAGGAAATTTGTCTATAAAGTCCGTCACCAACTTCTACAGATGCATCATTGAAAGCATACTGTCCATGTGCATGATGGCATGGTATGGCAACTGCTCTGCCCAGGACCGCAAGAAACTACAGAAGATGGTGTGCACAGCCCAGACCATCACAGAAGCCAACCTTCCATCCGTGGACTCTACTTAAATAGCTCCCTGCTGCAGAAAGGCAGCCTACATCATCAAAGACCCATCTCACCCTGATAATGAACTCCTCCAACCTCTTCTTCTGGCAGAAGATACAGAAGCCTGAACACACACACGGGCAGGTTCAGGAACAGCTTCTTTCTGGCTGTTATCAGACTGTTGAATGGACTCTAGCCTCAAATAATGTAACCTGTATGTCTCGAAGTCTTTGATCTGCACATCCTTTGCTGTGATCTGCCTGTACCGCTCGTAAACAAAGCTTTTCACTCTATTTCGGTACACGTGACAATAAAATCAATCAAATCAAATCAAATGCAGAAAAAAAACACCAGATAATTCAACTGTGGTTACAAAAAATACCAAAATCGATTGAGGTTGGAATGAAATAAAAAGTAAATCAATTGCAGAGGTAGTTCTTCGAAACTAACAGTCGAGCGAACTCAACTGCTTGAGAATGTGAAAATGCCCAAGGTAGAATATTCTATGAGAACAACGGTAAAATGGAGTTTGGAAACTTGAGGTTGGAAAGCACAAATATGTGATCGCCTGATGAGGACAAGTTGTACAGCAGAATATCGCACTAACATTCTATGATGAACGGGTAATGGTGACTTGAACTGGGGAAACCACACGAGGAAAAAACTGGGCGTGCAAAATGACTCTTTAATTTAACTTCCAAACGCGATCTTTGAGATAAATATCCAATTACTCCCTGTCGCCGAACTCCTTTCCAACGCCAGAGCATAAATTATTATTGGTATTCGTACATCTTTGAGAGCTTACTGTCAATTTACGGCTCGTTTCCTTTCCGGCCCTCCCCTCAATCCTGAGCCGGTTGCCATAGCGTCCACCCACCCGGTTGCCATGTGATCAGCCATTTGCGGACCGGAAGTGCCCAGCCGCGCGCTCTTGGACCAGTTCCTGTCAGTTAGGAGAAGATGGCGGCTGTGGAAAGTGATCGCTGTGTTTGGCGCCGCGGCCACTCGCACACTCACTGTTAAAGCCTTATTCGCATGTTTAGCTTTCGAATTTCTCACTGTTGCACTTTACATTAATGAGGTGTGTAGATTTATCTTTTCCCTGGATTGTGCAAACGAGCCGGCTCGGGAGCACGCAGTCCACCGACCGTTTTGTTTGATGCAGTGTCGCCGCTAAACGGGGGAGCGTCGGGTAATGGGGTGGAGAGAGAGCGAGAAACAAGTAGGCCCCTCTGTTGCTGTAGCCGTCAGGACAGGGCCTGTGTGCAAATCCCGCATTGCAGCGCTCTGAACTTAAGGCATTTCGCTGCGGTTTTGTTCTTAAAAATAATACTCCAAATAGCCTTCTGATTGTCGCCTGTTTAATTGCAGAGGATTGGAGGCTAACGCTACCAAAGAAGCTCAAGATAAACTAAGCAGGTAAGGTTTGCCTTTGGTTCATTTTGCAGTTAAATATATTCAAGTTAAATTTGGGGAGGGAAATATCAGACCTTCACCCACTCTTTCATGTAAAGCCCCCTCCCCTCTTATTTCGCTTGAGTTGAACTGTGAAGAAAACAAAACTGTAGAATAAATACTGGAACTTGCAAATGTTGCAGATACTACAAAAATAAATGAGATTGGATCGGGGTCAGGAAAGGCATGGCGTGTTGTACCGCCCTTCCAGATGTTGACTGGTAAACATGCATTTTGCAAGAATCGATCGGCCTCACTGCAAATTAAGGGATGTAAAGTGCACTGAAGAAAGCGGTGTATACATATTTAGAAGTAATTGAGATTTTTCAGATGTGGTTATTCTTTCAACTGGCTGTTACGTTGAGAGCATTTACTTTGCTCCTCCATTTCTGAAGGTAGTCATTACCTTGCATTGGTGATTGAGTGTTCCTGTAGTATATTATCATTGTTGCCGTTTCTTAACTTCAAGTTCCAGGGTGAACTTGCCTCGTCCATATGATTCAGTTCTATATCGTGTGTGTCAAAGAGAAGGGTGAATCCTCATTCTGTTTACATTTTTACAGAAATTGCAAAGCTGCTAAGCATTTGAGGAATTTATAAATGTAGGAAAATGTTCTGACACATCTTGTAGCAACTTTTCAATAATAAGATATATCCCAACATACTTCACAGGAATATGACCAGACCCACATTTACACTAAATGAATGAAAATGTTAAGACAAATGATAAAAATTTGGTTAATTAGGTGGTTTGTAAGGCTTAAAGAATAAAATTTATAGATGTAGCTGAAGGCAAAAGTGGTGAGCAGGAATGTAAGGTGCAGTGGAGGGCCACATTGGAGTCATGTGCCATTCTCAGAATTATGAGACTGGATTCAAATGTTAGAATGATACTAATATCGTAAAAAATATACAGGGAGTGCAAGCATGAATGGGACAGGCTGCAAAATTTTGGATTCGTTCAAATTTATTGGAAGTGGATGGCTAGCCGTGAAGAGTGGAATAACTTCAAGTTTAGTTCCTTCGGCAGTGAGATACAACCTATTCTTATCTAATGGTCATGCGTGTAGTCAGGACCTTGTGTCCTGAGTATTGTCTTTCTCACTTGTACTTTGGTACTAAAGCTAAGATCATCCAAGTTCCAGGGTGAACTTGTCCATACAGTACGATTCAGCTCTGTATTGTGTGCATATCACCAAATGCCAGGAAGGATGAATCCTCATTACGTTTGCATTTTTATAGTAATTATAAAGACACCGGACACTTGTGTAGAATTTATAAATGTAGACAAATTGGTTAGCCAAAGACTTTTTTTTTTAAAGATGTTCAAAAACTCTCAAATGGCTCCTTATTAGATGGTGATGTAGAAGGGTTGAGGGAGATATGTTCCAGAGAACAAGTTGTAGTTTGCAGTAGATGTTGCTTTCAATGGTGGCTCAAAATGAGAGAATGGATGAAAAATTATGGTTTCTGTGTGAGGTTGACTGAAGTTATACGAAGAGGAGAAAAAAGGTCATGGATGAATTTATTCAAGGAATGAGGGTTTTCCACATCAGTGACTGCACTTTAAAAGTACTTTGCTATCAACCTTCAACTTCAGCTTATTTGAAGCTCAGCCCGTATTCTAACTTTCTCAAAGTTAACTTCATCCATCATCCTGTACTCACTAACCTACATTGACTCTAGTTAGATAAAGTTTGGATATTTAAAAATGATCCTGCTTGTTTTCACATCCCTTCACGGCCTTTAGCCATTCTTATCTCTAAGTTCTTCCAGTCCTAAAACCCTCATGTCTACCTTTATCCAATTCAGTCTTCTTGACAATTTTGTTTTTAATTGCTTCACCATTATTGGCTATGCTCTCAGCTGCTGGAAGGAATGGAGAATTGGGATTCCCTAAATTAGTCATTTACGTTCCCAGTCACATTATTAAACCCAAGCCCTGGACAGTCTTTGGATGCATCATTCAATTATTCTGGCTGTAACAAGGATAACGTTGAAAATCATAACTTCCTGCAGTATCTTCAAAATGCTAAGTTAAGGTTTTTGTTACCAGTCCTGTGGGGCTTATCAATTTGGCTTTGGTTAGTGCGGGTAATATAGAAGCGTTTTCAGAAGTACTCATGGATAGGTCCAAGGAGGAAAATTTTAGTTATAAAATGAGATGAGAGTAATATTCTCTTTGCAAACTTCACCTTTCATTTAAAATGCTCCTTAAGCTTTACGTGTTTCACCTCCCCTAATAATTAATGCAACTTGGTATGAATTTTTCGTTTGTACTTTTTGTGAAGTGCCTTAGAATGTATTACTATTCATAAAAGCATTCTGTTTGTGTTTGCCAGTTTGTGGATAAGAATTTTAATATGGGGGCGGTTGGGTGTCTCTACTTGCGCTTCTACAGCTGGTAAGCTCCTGAATAGTTACTAGATTGAAAGCTAACTCTCCATTGTAGTATTGAGGGATTGGTGCATCATTGTGTTATCTATCACATGAGATGTTAATCTGGATATTGCCTGTCTTCTCAGGTAGAGTTAAAAGATCCCATGACACTATTCAAAGAAAGTCAAGGGAATTCTGCTTGGCATGATGGTCAGTTTCTATCCTTCGGTTTTCGAGTCATTATCGCATGGCAAGTAGCTCTGAAGAAAAGTCATTTGGCCCGAAATGTTAACTTTGCTTTCTCTCCACAGGTACTGCCAGACCTGCTGAGTTTCTTCAGCAATTTGCATATTCCCCCACAAAAAAACTAATCAGCTGCTCTGTTTCCTACATTACAACAGTAACCATTTCAAAGCAAGCTTCAGAGATAGTAGGAACTGCTCATGCTGGAGAATCTGAGATAACAAGGTGTAGGGCTGGATGAACACAGCAGGCCAAGCAGGAAAGCTGACGTTTCGGGCCTTGACCCTTCTTCAGAAATGGTCAGATATCTTCATTTCTGAAGAAGGGTCTAGACCCGAAACGTCAGCTTTCCTGCTCCTCCGATGCTGCTTGGCCTGCTGTGTTCATCCAGCTCTACACCTCCTTATCTCAAAACAAGCTTCTTTTGGCTCTGAAAGGGTTAGAGATGTCTTGAAGTTGTGAAAGGTGCTCCATAAGCTTATAAGATAACAAGGTGTAGAGCTGGATGAACACAGCAGGCCGAGCAGGAAAGCTGACATTTCGGGTCGAGACCGTTCTTCAGAAATGAAGATGTCTGACCCATTTCTGAATAAGGGTCTTGACCCGAAACGTCAGCTTTCCTGCTCCTCTGATGCTGCTTGGCCTGCTGTGTTCATCCAGCTCTACACCTTGTTATCTCAGATTCTCCAGCATCAGCAGTTCCTACTATCTCCATAAGCTTATGTTGGTTTTCTATCCCATCTTTTACCCCCAAATGCTGAGTTTCTGAGGTCACATTGGATGCAATGTTGAAAGTGCTAATATGGGAATATAAATCTTACTACTTCCAATGATTGCCTTGTCAAAAGGGCAATTTTATTATTTTTTTGGTTATGTATGGTAGGTTTTTAAAAATCTTTGCTCCTTTTGACACCATCCTGTCCTTGCATTGTAGTGCCTTTTTTGTTTCAGGACTGGTTGTCAGGAAAATAGGGCTAGGACTCAGTCAAGTTAACCTTCAACATGTGAGGATCTTGACACTGTAAAAGCAGGTAATAGTGACAGGATTGACAGTTGCATGGGTTTGCGAAAGAGAAATCATACTTCACAAATCCTCTGGCATGTTTTGAGAATATGGCTAGTAGGGTTGATCAGTGGGGGCTGTTGGATGTGGTTACTTGGACTTTCAAAAGGCTTTTGATAAGATCTCACGTAAGAGATTAGTATATAAAATTAAAGTGCAAAGGATTAGGGGTAGTATACTGACATGGATAGAGAACTGGTTGTTAGCAAACAAAGAATAGGTCTTTTTTTGAGTGGCAGAAATGGACTTTTGGGGTACAGGAGGGGGTCAGTGCTTGGTCCTCAGCTATTCACAATATATATATTAATGATATTGATGAAGGAACTAAATGTAATGTCGCTAAGTTTGAGTTTAATTTGGATAAATGAGGTGTTGCATTTTGGTAAGACAAACCAGGGCAGGACTTGTATAGTTAATGATATGGTCCTGGGGAGTGTTACTGAACAAAGAGATCTAGCGGTGTAGATGCATAGTTTCTTGAAAGTGGAATCACAGGTAGACAGGGTGGTGAAAAAGGCACTTGGCATAGAACATTACAGTGCAGTACAGGCCCTTCGGCCCTCGATGTTGCACCGACCTGTGAAACCGATCTGAAGCCCATCTAACCTACACTATTCCATTATCATCCATATGTTTATCCCATGACCATTTAAATGCCCTTAAAGTTGGCGAGTCTACTACTTTTGCAGGCAGGGCATTCCACACCCTTACTACTCTCTGAGTAAAGAACCTACCTCTGATATCTGTCCTATATCTATCACCCCTCAATTTAAAGCTATGTCCCATCGAGCTAGCCATCACCATCCGACGAAAAAGGCTCCCACTGTCCACCCTATCTAATCCTCTGATCATCTTGTATGTCTCTATTAAGTCACCTCTTAACCTTCTTCTCTCTAACGAAAACAGCCTCAAGTCCCTCAGCCTTTCCTCATAAGACCTTCCCTCCATACCAGGCAACATCCTGGTAAATCTCCTCTGCACCCTTTCCAATGCTTCCACATCATTCCTATAATGTGGTGACCAGAACTGTACGCAATACTCCCAAGTGCGGCCGCACCAGAGTTTTGTACAGCTGCAACATGACCTCGTGGCTCCGAAACTCAATCCCTCTACCAATAAAACCTAACACACCGTACGACTTCTTAACAACGCTATCAACCTGGGTGGCAACTTTCAGTGATCTATGCACGTGGACACCGAGATCTCTCTGCTCATCCACACTACCAAGAATCTTACCATTAGCCCAGTACTGTTACTGTTACTCCTTCCAAAGTGAATC